TTTCTTTTGAAAGACTTTGATTTCATTGGCTCGAGTTTTGAGAGGTGGGGCTTATTGTGCCTAGGAAAACGTAGAGGGGGTGGAGCTTGTTTTCCACTGGTATACTTGTTGAGAAATGATCGTTAGTGTGTCTTGGAGCTTCACTGGGGGGTGCAGGTCTTCTGACCTGGTGGGCAAGCCATTCAACATCTCTGCCCAGATTGCAGTAAGGTATTGTGCCACTTGAGTATTTCATGTATAATCGGTATTTCAAACCATTGCTTTTAGGATGTTTTATTAGAGTAGGATATATGTTCATTTGTTTTAAAAATACGTGCCTGTTTCAATAAAGTAAATATTTTGATCTAGTGGTATTTAGTTAATTCCCTCTTTTGGTTATAAATGCTGTGTTATTCCTTTTTATATGTGGCATTCATGTGCGGTATTGGAAACCCTATATTCTCAATAAGTAAAGTAAAAGTTATATGATTACTCCCCAAGCAATTATATTGCCAATATTGTTATGCCCTTAAGTTCATGATTATTGATTTCTGTCCTTTCTGGGAGATCAGTAGTCTAGACATTCAGGTATTTTAGCAGGAAGGTGGTGGCAGTGTGCTATTAAGTTTATTCAGTTCTTATTCAAATTGAATTAATTATAAATTAATGATCATAAATTAATGATCCCTTCCTTTGTTGCTTCCCCCTCATTTAATATTTCAGAATCACTATTAGTTAGTAGTTCAGTGAGGGTCACACTGATCTGCAAGCAGTGTTAAGCTGGGGTATTGAGTGAGTAAGGGGGTACAGCAGGGCGGGATTATTACATGATGGAAGCATGGTGAGTCCCTTAGTACATGAACTCGTCCGCACTACTCTGGATATATGTTATGATAGATTTTCTAGATTAGGTACATGTATATAGTCCAGGAACTCTCTGAAAGTCTAGGAAGCCATCACTGGCAATATAAAGTTAGTTCGTGCTTAAAGTCTGGATTGCTTCAAGAATTTGTAATCTTCTTACATCTTGGGTTTTGTCTATTATACAAGTGTTTTTATTTATCATTTCTCTTGTTAGGGTGATGTCATGGGCTTGTCTCATGTGATTTTTGGGGACACCGGATTGAAGACGACAGGTCAAACGCCTCGTCAGCTTGGTCAACGTCATACTTATGTACTTAGATTGAAGGTTACATCCTTTGTGGGGGAAAGTGTACATGTGTACTACGTTTGACTGCTGTAAAGGGTTCTCCGTCGACTTCAGGCTGTTTTTAAAAACAGTTTATTAAAAACAGCCTGAAGCCGACAGATGTGGGGAAATTTGATATACAGAAATTTTTCTGTAGGTTAGATTTAAAAGCACTACAATCACCTCCTGTGGTTGATTGTTCAATAAATCCCTGAACTATATGTTTAACAGATCTCTGACCCTATCCATGGAGGACAAAAGAAAATGTATATATGCTGATTAGCATTGTACATGTGTGGCCACGTCTGTGGTAGAAAATAATAATAAAAAGTCATGACTATCCAACTTGGTGGGTTACTAATGGCTCTCCGTTAGTCTTCTGTTTAAGCTTGGTCACTGATTATTAGGTGTTTGCCAGTTTTTAATGGTTATTAATTTGCCCTATCTATTACTTCACTCACTAAGCTGGTCTACTGAGAGTAAATAAACCGTGTTGTATTCTGAATCGATTTTTCTGAAATCACTGATTTGGCAAGTGGCCGGCGAGGCGCTGGTTCAAGGCCGTGATGACTCGTCTCTCCTACCCCTCGCTACCCCAAACACACTATTATATTTTAATTGGTGCTGTAGCACAGTTTGAGGACTTCTGGGATATGTCTGGTACTTTTCACAACTGTGTAGTACCTTCATGATTACAATTTGTAATGTATGAACTGGTATTTATTTTGGATGAATACTTATATAATTAGGTTTAGCGCAGGAACCTGTTATGTACGATGAATTCTGAATTTACCTTTATGTTGAATATGTTAGTTGCTGATTCTCAAACACTTGTACACTTTGAAACTGTAAATAGCTTCTTTCATCCACAGCGCTGCTCTATCTTGTTGCGACTATAGCAAGAAGAAAATGTTGTAGAGGCGGCAGCCAGCCAGGGTCCTTCACCCTGCCACACGCCTGGTACACTGAGCTCCCGGGACGACCGTGAGATGTGTTTATGAAAGCTTCCAATGAATTAAGATGGTCAGTTTCGTAGGCAATTATATGTGGCTCTGCAACCTTTTCCACTACCACCCACAGGAATGGTATGCGCGCTTAATGAATGAACTAGCACTACATGAGAGAAGTGTTTATCCTTATGAATGAGGTACTTACACATTTCTTGGATCCCATTGATCGTGTTATCTCTAAATTCTGCGATTTTTTCACATTCCATTATATAATGACGCGAAGTATGTGTAGTAAATGTGTCATATCTATTGTATCGCGGGCGGAGCTATTATTGTACCAGATGGATGCTCGCTTGACTTATTTTTTTGGTCGTCAGATCAGCTGTGTCGTGCTTGTACACAGGGGGCCAGATTCACGAAGCAGTTACGTACGTAGTTACGAATGTTTTTCTTTTTAGCATCTTCGTAGCGGCTACGTTGGTATTCAGGTAGGCATTTAAGAAGAAAAATCTTCGTAAGTTTGCTTCGTCGTGCTAAGAGTGCTCTCGACCACTCGTAGCGTTACGTAAACTGGATATAACTCAATTTTTATCTACTACACAACACGGAGGATCGATTTTATTATAAACAAAACATTTTAGCTAGAGAAATTCGTCAAGAGGCGTCCTTCGTGTTAACTCTATACGCATTCTCTGCTTGAAACTTGTAGTAAGGCTGTCTTTTATGTTGCGGTGGTCGCTGATTGGTTGGTTGCTTCAGAGGTACTGGCTCCGGCAGAAGATGTGGTTTTCTTCATGTTTTTGATGACTTCTTGTCTATGAGGACAACGAATGGAGATTGCAGGATGATCGCCTTTGCAAAGCAAACAACAAAGCTGTTTGTTCTGTTTACCAAAGCTGTAAACACCATTTCTGGTAGCAGAGAAGGATGGGGTAGGGTACAGAAATCTTGAGCGAGGAACTGGAGACGAGGCGAGATGAGAAATCGATGGCCCAACCACCGTGGGCAATACTTGCAGCTAATGTTGTGGTTGGTTTGTAATTTGACTCATAGTTTTAAATATTTAGAACTTCTTTTTCAGTTTTATAAAACAATACAGATTTTATACAAAATTTGAAAATATTCTGAGTTACTTTACAATTTATTGAAATATTTTAGTTTTGTTTTATTAGTACTATAAAACTGTAATATCAATAAGCTATTGGTTAAGTACTAATTGTAATTAAAAAGCAATAAAATGCTTATCATCAAACACTAAGAATGTTAAGTTAGGTCGTGGTTTTCTATTCAGCTTTTCAGGTAAACTCAAATATTCACAATATATTTGACAATACGATTTAATACTAAGTGAAAATAAGTCCAATGCCTGACTGCGATGAATGGTACATAATTGCCCTTACTTATGCCGTTACATTTACCGCCCCATTTTTGGACAACCCATTCTCGCACTTTTGTATAGTCAATATTGACTTATTTTATATGTGCATATGTGACATACTAAACATACTAGTTTACCTTGATAAGCTTCATAGAAAACACCAACCTTACCTAACCTTCTTAGTATGTTAAGATAAGCATCTTATTGCTTCGTAATTACAATTATTACTTAACCTATTATAGGTATAGGTTAAGTAATAATTGTAATTACGAAGCAATAAGATCCTTATCTTAACATACTAAGAAGGTTAGGTATGGTTGGTGTTTTCTATGAAGCTTTTCAAGGTAAACTTGTATGTTTAGTATGTCACATATGCACGTATTTAATAAGTCAATATTGACTGTAAGAAAGTGCGAGAACGGGTTGTTTTGGAGGACGGGCTGGTCAAAGTACAGGGGGAGGCACTCTAGGAACAGTGAACTCAACGGCATCATTAGAGGATAGTCACCTGTATGTCCAGCTGAGAGATTCATTCATTCATTCATTTATTAAGCATCCCATACACATGGGGTGGGCAGTGGTGCAAAGGGCTACAGAGGCACATAATGGGACTCAAGAACTAAATCCCATAGTTCATTTAGCTAAGTAAGTGACAACCTTGTGAAGATAGTGACAGCCGTTAATATTACATAAACATATACATATACATGCATACACAGACATATATGTAATGAGAGGGCGTCCATTACTTAACGCTCCATAACTCTGATGTTCTTATTGGCCGAGGAGATGGGATCAGAGTAAACCCCGGGAAGAATTTTCAATTCAATTTCTTTCTTTATAATGCACCCCATACCCATCCCGTGGGCGGTGGTGTAAAGGGTTACAGAGGCACATAATCGGTTCAGGAATTGAACCCTCTAGTTCGTTTAGCTAAGCAAATAACAATCTTTTGACGCTAGTTACAAAATTATTAATGTTATATATATACGTGTACATATTCTCATACATACATGTACATATATATATACATATATACATACACATACATATTCAATCACCTACACAAATACACACATCAATAATCTTTTGTATCACAAGTGATTCAACAAGAGGCTCACAACGGTCACTATACAAGCCACTTTACATCTATGGTGAGTCACACAGTTACTAGTCTTGCTGCAAACCCACCCAACTGGACGGCAGCTTTACAGTCATATGCATGCATTCCCTACAGTAAGCAAATTTTGGATACTGCGGCAAGCAGTTTGTGAGAAACAAATTGGAAACAGAATTTCAACATAATTTGTCACAGAATTAAATAATCTTTTTTTTTTTTGCTGAATCTTTTCGCAACAATGCTAATGAAGAATATTTGTTACATTGGAATTGTGTTTATTAATTATTACTATAATGACAATAATTCTTGTTGTTATGATTATTATTGTATTTGTCATTATTAATTTATAAGAGTTCCCCTTTAGAACTTATAAAATATATTTTGCTATAGTAATTGAGGATCTTTGTCCTGTGATATTTCAATGATTCCATTTGTCTGCTCGAAGGCCATCCAGGCGACAGTGTGAGTGTTTTCCCAGCCTGGTATCTTGCTGAACGTTGCTATAGAAGATGGGTTGTCGTAGGCGACGTGGGCGTTAGGAATGAAGCCCTGGCTAGCATATAGCCTCCCCATGATCTTGATTACCAGTCTACCGAGCCCCAGCTTCCTGTAGCTGTCGTCCGTCCCCAACATGCCGATGCTTCCATACATGGTGGGTGACATCCAGGAGACAGGTGTTTCCTCATTTCCGGAATAGTGCAGGTGCTGGAGGTCCAGCGGCGAGTCCTTATTCACGCTCGAGTCGAGGAACACTCCAACAGATGGCAGATGCTGCGATAGTCTCCAAGTGGACTCCAGCGGTTGCTCCTTGTTAAAGAGGCTCCTCTCCAGTAGGTGTTGGAGCCCAGTTTTGACAAGTTTACAGACACGGAAACCTGGCTTGTTCCTGGAAGCAAGAGCAAAGAATGATATGCTGGGTACAGAGCAATGTTATTTTTTAAGTAAACAGCCAAAGGCAGCAGCACATTTGTTTCCTGAGTTATACTCTCACAATAAAAGTAAATCCGCTGAGTGTCCATCTGCCTAAGGCACAGAAGCCCGGTCACTTACCAAGCTTACGTAATCCACTACTGGCTTAAATCAGTATAATTTCCTCCTAAATGTCTGAGATTTTGACATAAGAGAAAATCTTAGAGTAGGACGGTGGGTCGATCCCAATTACTTGCTCCAAAGATTTTCTGGTATATCACATTGTGAATTCATTACGTATTCTTATGTAGTTTCTCATAATTTAGGCATATAGATTCATATTTATTGTTCATCTATTTACTCTATTTCAAAATTTTAAATTATATATAAATATTTAAGTACGATTAAATGTAGAATGGTATTTTGCTGTCTAGATTCAGTAGCAAATTGCCAATAAAAGCAGTTTAAGTAAATTCTATAAATTCCCTGCTTAAATTTTTCCTGTTTATTTTAATGGCCAGGGTTAGTTTTTATAAATATTTTGATAAAGCTTGAACTTGAATGAGAAGAAATTGTAAGGAACAAATTATGAAATCAAAAGTCAGTACAGCGTGCAAAACTGCCTGAACATGACTAAATTGTAAAATATAAACCACTGACTGGTTTGGAGAGTTTTATGCACATTAGTAATTAAGTTGTAAGCAGCTAGTAGGTTATATCAGTTAATTTGTACTTGACTGAAGTTGCGAGAGGGAGGGTGCTGTTTGGTGTGTCGGCGCCAAGGGGGCCTCCCCTCCCTCCTGTTGTGCGTGCCCAGTCTGTGGGCCTCGAGTTTTCTGATTGAGCTGGCTATCCTATGGTGGGGCTCGTGCTGTGTGAAATGCTGCAGTCCCTATGGTAGACGTTTATGGCATTGAACTGGTGACTGACCACAGGGTAGTTGTCAAGTTTACGACGGAGGAGGTGTGCCGGGCGTTTTTGCGTCGTTACGAGGGGCGAACCTTGCCCCTGCCGGAAGGTGCAGGCACTGTGACTGTCTCAGATCGGAGTGGTACCATCACGTATGTTAGCGTGCATGGGGCGTCCTTGGAATTCCCGGAGGAGCTGCTGCGGCATTATTTCGGCCAGTTTGAAGCTGTTGTCAGTGTGCGGTTGCACCTGCTCTTCTTGGGACGCTTAAGGGTGTGCAGTCAAACATTCGCACCGTGGGAATGAGGCTGTGGGTGGACATTCCGTCCTCAGTGAAGCTACTGGGTTATGTCAGGGTGTATTACGCCCGCCAGCTTCGTACGTGTTACCGTTGTGGCCTCTTGGAACATCAGGCTTCTGGGTACTCTGTGCCTGCCGTCACGCCCGTCAACCTCTACCGTGAGGAGGACTTCCCGCCGCTCCCTATGGAGGAGACTTCGGTGGAAGTGGACGACTCTTTGGCTGCTGAAGTGCCCCCTGTGTCGCCTGTTGCACCTCCTGTTGCTGTTGCCTCTCCTCCGGAGGTTGAGTCACCATCGGGTGCTCGTCCTGCCCCAGTTGATATCCCTGATGCTCCCATAGTTCTTCGGGCTGCCCTCTGCACAGCTCCCATGTCTTCATTTTCTTCAGCTGTTGTGCCTGTCCCTGCGCCCTCGCCGTGTGTCCAGGCTGTACTGGGTGCTGCGGTGGTTGTATGGCCTCCCACTGTGTTCGACCTGGTTTCCCGTGTGGTTGAGGATGCTGCCGTCCTGCGGAGAGCGTCAGTTTGCCCGGGTCTCTGGGTCGACATCCGGCTTTGATGATGTGCGGCCGGTGCCCAAGCGTTCCCGGCATTCTTCTGCCTGGGCTGATATGGGTGAGTTCGACGACTGTGAATCTTCTGGCGATGGCAGGGTGGTTCGGGTTGCATGGCATTCTTCGGTGGTTGCGGAGGTCCATGTGCTGCAGCTGCCAGTGACAGTGTCTTGGTCTTCCCTTCTGGTGTGGTGCCTGTTAATCTTGCTTCGGGTGCGTCGCCAACATCGGATGGTTCTGGTTCTGCGTGGGGGGTAGCTCCCCCTGATGAGGTTCGTGGTGAGCATGGTGATCTGGTGATGGTGTTGAAAAAGGTTGCTCACTCTGGGGGTTCCGTGCCCCCTGTTTCATCGACTGCCGGTTTGCCGCCTCTCCCGTCTCCGGCTGTCTCTTCTGCATCTCCTGCGGTGTCGGGAGTGGTGTTACCGTCTCGGCAGCCTATGCCTCCTTCTCCTGTGCATCTGGCGGCAGGGCCGTCTCGGCGGCCTACGTAGGCTTCTTCGGTATCTTCTGCTTCCACGGAGGAGGGGGTTTACCATACCCCTACCTCGTTATGCGACTTCTGTCGACCAGCTCTGGGAGCTGCGTTTCTGCCTGATTTAGTGATTCCTGAGTTTATGCAGCCCCCTTCCTCCCTGAAGCAGGGGGGAATCGGTACCCTACCGACATGGAGTATTTGATATGGGAGGCCTATAAGCAGAAATATCCTCTGTATGAGTTCCCTGAGAAATATTCACTTCCCATTGAGGTTTGTTCTCCTTTCAAGGGATTTATTTTGTATGTGGTGTGGGGTTGTGTCCATTTGTGTGTGTGGATGTGGGGTGAGGTTGCATGTGTGTGTGTGGGTGGGCCAGGTTTGTTTTCCCGGTTCCTGCGTGCTCCGTATTTCCGGTTCCTGTGAGTTCCAGTGTGCGCTTGTTTTTGGAGTGGTTGCGTGCCCTTTGGGCTACTTGTGTGATCATGCCTGTTTTTGTTCCCATTATCATGCATTTCCTATGTTAATTTCTTTTTATGTGTTATGTTTTTGTTTCCTTTCTTCTTATTTGTCATTATGTATTGGTGCCTCTCCGTGTGTGGTTTACGGGGCCGGTAGGCTTGTTTTGTGTTGTGTTTCGATGGTTGGGTTGTTGGGTGAGGGTTTGGGTACTATGTATTTTCCTGTTGTTATTTTTGTACTGTCTTGCATTATGTTTGTGCGTTTTGTTGGGTTTTTGTTGTCGACCCTTCAGGCCGGTATTTCATGTCTTTGTAATTATGTACTTTTGTGATTTTGTAACTTGTGATTTGTGTTCTGTTTGTTTTGTTCTCGGTTTATTGTATTTATACGCATGCTTGCATGTAAAAATAAAAAAATAAAAAGTTAATTTGTACTTAGTAAAGTGTTAGTGGAAATAAGATATTTGTTAGGAGACGGTTGGTATGACACGTGGACACATTCCCATCGTGGTTTAATTTCAATTGTGTCCGACTGGTGATGGTGGACTGTTACGACCAAGGTGGTCTATTTAAGGGAAACAAGATTTTATAGAAAGAAACACAAGGGTTGGCCGTTGAGTGTGCTACTGGTTTGCAGTGCTGCCGGCGGTACGATCAAGTAGTGATATGAAAACTACTGGGTGTATTTATAATTTGGACCTAGTGGTTGACTAACTAGTGGGCAGCTAGTAGGGAAGTGAATTTATAGATGATTTTGTTAAATATTTGGGCAGAACACATAAGAAAATGTAGAAAGTTATGGTATGACTTTTTGAAGTTTGCAGCTGAATGGGGCAAGCAGATTCAATCGTTCGCCACGTCAACTGTATACCGGGAGTTTGTGGCCCGCTGGAATGGCCGCTCCTAGAGGATGATTTTCCTCGCTTATCTGTGCGTGTGGACTCCCCGGCGGATTCTCGCTCTGTGCTCGTGCCTGGTGTGGATCCTGCGGCGGTTCCGGATGTCGATACGTCTGGACCGGATGTGTCTGCCCCGCCGGTGAGCTCGGGGGACCTAGGGGCGCCTGTTTCGGACCTTCATCGTTCGATGCCTGTGGAAGTGCATCCGCATCCGGTGACCTTGGGGGATGCTGTAGGGGTGGTGCCCGAGTCTCCTGCTGGAGGCAGTGTGCTTCCCGGGGCTGATGGTGCGGTGGTATGTGTGTCTCCGCCCACGTCTTCTGCCTCGTCGACTCTGGGAGTTAACTCGTTAACGAGTACCTCTTCTATTCAGCAGGTTCCGTCGCCATCCCTGGATACCTCACGTGTGCTGACGTCTTCCCCTCCGCCTGTTGTGTCTCTTCCTTCTCCGACTCCGGTCTCCGTTCCTGTCGATGGTTCTTCTGGGACACCGCTTGTTGGGGGTGACAACTCCGACGATCAGCAGCCTCTGTTTAAGCGCCGTCGCTCGGCTCGGGGTGCGTCACCTCGCCGGTCGTGGGCAGAGGAGCGGGATGACATGGAGGATGATGATGTGGCCGACGCTGTGTTGCCTTCTGAGTTGGATGTTGTGCCTCCTGCTGGTGGCTCCCCTCAGTGGGCTGTTGCCCCTGGTAAGAGCGACCTTGTGGTGGTGTTGACGAAGGATGTGAAGCGGGGAGCCTCTGCTCCTGTTCCAGTTGGTGGGGGCTCTAGGGCCCTTGCGGAGACACCCTCCGCGGGTCTCGGTGCGGTTCCTGACACCCAACGGTGTGCACGCCCTAGTGGGCGGGCCAGTGTGCGGCCAGATGTGCTTCCCAGTGTGCGCCCGTGTGCCCAGCGTCCTCGGGGGAAACCTGTCCCTTTTGTCCTCTCGACCGGAGAGGTGCTCGACGGATCTACGGCAACTGTGACTTTTCAGTGTACTGACTCAGTGCATCCTGTTCCCTGGTGCCCTTCTACCATCTGGGTTCCAAGTGCGCAGTGTTTTGTCTCGGGAGTGCCGAATTCGATGCCTCGGGCTACTGCGACTCCTGGGTGTCCGATTTCTGACGGTCTCCAACTTGTTTGGGATGCTTATTGTTTACGGTTTCCTGCTCGGGAGTACCCGGAGAAGTATGAGTGATTGGTTTATTGGTGTGTTTGGTTTCTGTCTGTATTGTGCGTAATGTTTCCCCGGTGCCTGCGTGCACAGGTGGGTGACCTTGTCTGTGCGTGTGGGTGGTGTGGGTATTGTTCTTGCCCCTGCATGGCTTGTTTTCTTGTCTGTTTTGTGCTATGCGCTTGGTGTGTGTGTTTTATGTTATTTGTGTCGTGATATTTATTTGTACCATTCTGTTTGTTGGTGTGTGTGGGTGTGTAACCATCCAGTGCCCGTTTCGGGGTTTTCTTATTGTGCCTTATTTTGTGTGTTTTCTTTCTTGGTTTTTGTTGTGTATGTTTCGTTTGGTGAGTGTAGTCTGTGAATAGTCTTGTTTTTAGTCTTTTTTTATATTTTTTTTAAGTATATATATACAGGTGCAAAAGTTCTTACATTTTTGTACAGCACTTGTCCAGTTTGTCATTTACTCTCAGTTAAGTTCATTCCTTTAAGTTCATCTGCCACCGTGTTTATATATTTTTATTGAGTAGGTTATAAATGCAACTTACAGCTCACTCACAGTTTTGTAGCAAGTAAAGTGACCTGGAAGAGGATATGGTACTGATATGTACCGGTGTTCAGTGTGTAATATTAACTGTTCCACCAGTGTTAATTCCTGCCTAGTATTTTGTTGGTGTAAATCCTTGCTTCTATCCAACGAGAGTATTAGATCTTAAAGTATTAGATCTTCTGATCTAATCAGAAGGCTAGATCATTTGTTATGAGTGTAAGAGTTTTTTTTTAATAAATAGATTGTTACCAAGCTATCTTTCTTTCCTGTGGGCTTGGTGAGATCGTAATCTACCTTTAGATACGTATTTGGGAGTTTCTTCCTGGGGCCGGGCCTAGCAACCCACAAAATTAGGCTAATGCCCACATAGTGTTACTGTGGGAGCCTATTCCACAAATTTTTGGGTAAAATAGTGTGATTTTGATTTTTCCTAATACTAAACAAACACCCCTATTATAATCCTCACAGGTCACTCATAATATGGACGATTATTGCTTGGAGTGCCAGCATTTTATCATTCAGGTTAAGTCCTTCCTCATTCGTACTGGTCATTAACTCTACCTTTCCATTGATTGTAATACCTTCCAAGTTGTAACATTGAGCACAGTATCTTGGATAGGATTAGTGTTTCAACTCCAGGGACACTAATAGGTGTGTTGTGCTTTAACCGTTCCTGGACAGGATTATATGCGACAGGGGGGGAAATGTTCTTGAACTGTGCTTCACCTTAAGTCTTTTGGGCGAGCCTTTGCTAGTCTTTGAGGGCTAGGTTCTCTTTCCAAATGAGTTTTTGGAATGTAGAGTAAATGTTAACAGGCACTGCCATTTTCTGTGTGAGATTACGATTATATTAAGTGAAAGTAATTACATCCATTTTAAATAACCTGTGTCCCAGGCACAAGAGGACATCATCCCTTGCAGGTACAATTTTTGGACTATTTTCCTGGAGGCCGGGTCTTACCTCCTGTCTTTGGACGGCCTGTTAATATATGCTTTGGTGTTTAATTGGGGCCCCTTTGACGCAGCATAGAGAAGTGTTTGACTGGTAGTGCAAGTACCAGCAGTCCAGGTTAATCTTACATTTAACTTCAGTTCTGACCTCGAACCTCACAATATTTATGAACATGAATATCGGATTTTAATACGTACATAAGTATGCAATATAGTCAACGGTAGGAAATATATCCTTTAACTATATATAATAATACATTCAAAGACAGATATGCATGTGAAGAACATTTATGTCATTATCTGAGGATAGTATTTGTGACAAATAGAAAGTGCTCAATGGAGGCCTGCGTACATGCCCTACCCTAGATATGTCACTGCGGACCCAAGTGTACTGTATGATCATGCATGCATTCAACTGATATCATGGCAGACTTAATAATTGTTGTTAATGCGTGTAATGTGTTCTCATAATAATGTTATGCTTAACATTGTTTAATTATTTCTTCATTTTTGTCAGCTTTTGAAATTTCATTCTCATTAATTACAACGTATTCAGTATCTTCATTCTGTTGAATTGTTGACATTGCAGTTAAATGTTGTCTATTTTTTTTAATTATTCATATTATTTATATTCCGTTTTATTAAAGCTATTTTCCTCTCCCACCTTACATATGTTAATAACTGTCTTTGCCATCCCTGCCACACACACCAAGACGTTTCTAACATCTAACAGAATGAAGCCTGCGTAGTCCTAGAACAGCTCCCTCAACTGAACCGGTAAACACTTTCCTGAGTTTCTACATGAGCTTCCACTCTATGCGAAGTTTAGTTTGGTGAAGGGCTTAAGACTTAAGGCCTATCAACTGCACGAGGGTTATTAAAGCCTTGACACTAGATTACTGACCAACCAGCAAGTATACTTTAGCCCTGAACAAAGTCAAGAACTAAAGTAAACTGTCAGTGTGTATACCGAGAAATGGAGGACACTTCTTGGTGTATATATATACCTGCACGGTTGATATTGCCACTTTAAAGTTCACTGTATGGTAAGGTAAGTACCAACCTGAGGAGTTCAGTATCCATGTTAGGGCGGTAAGTAAATGTGTAATTTGGATCCCAATAGACGAGGGAGCTCCCCAGCTCTTGGGCCAGCATCTTCAGCGGCTCAACCAGGTAGTGGGGAACATGGTAGATCATCAGGTGTCGTTGCCAGTTCAATAGAGGCGTCTCCCTCAGCGCCTCTATCAGTTGTTCGAATTCCGCTTCCCGGCAGTAGACGGCAATACTGGAGGGCACGTTCTAGAGGTAGAGAAACAGTGTAAGAACACCAGCGACTGTTAGTCTATTATTTCGAAATGCGCGCACGCAAGTACAAGAGGTCATAGATTCAAGCTAACGAAACAAATGTGGCAGAAAATATTAAAAATTTCTCTTTTGCAAAAAGTACAGCAGACGATTTGAATAATTGAAGTTAGAAGGCGGTTGATTCCAAAACTGTTAATACATTTTGGTTTTGGCGGCGTATGGCTGCCGGCTTCACAACATCACTAAAATGATGTATTAAATTGCCCGAACCAAACCTAACTAATGACCCGCAAATAGAAAACTGATCATCGCATCGATTTTGCGAGCCGCTATGAATTGTAGCATATCAGTTTTTGGTCTTAGGGGATTTATACGTCGAAATGCGATGTACTATGCGAGAGGACAGGATGCAGGAGGTACGCAGTACTCACCGTCTTCTGCCACAAGAATACGTGAGAGAGAGGCTGGGCAGGCAAGGTGTAGAACCTGGTCGTGGACAGCCACCCTCGAGCGTGTAGGAGCAGGTTGTTGTACATCTGCCATAGTTTACATTCACGTTAACAACTAAACAAAAATTAGTATTAAAAATGAGGCTTATCTTCATTCAAAAGCTCATTCTTGTTAATTAACTGAATTTTTACGAAATAAAATTATATTATTGCTATGTTTTGTGCAATATTATAGTAAGACAATAATTTTTTAATATTTTACTTGATAAATAATAATAATTACCAAAATTTTGCAGTCCTTCAGTGGGGGAATGTTGAAAGCAATATATTTCAGTTCATAAATGTATTCAGCAACATGTATTTATATGCAGGCGATGAGTCACAATAACGTGGCTGAAGTATGTTGACCAGACCACATACTAGAAGTTGAAGGGACGACGACGTTTCGGTCCGTCCTGGACCATGAGAATGGTCCAGGACGGACCGAAACGTCTATTCGTTTGCCTTGTTCGGGTAGAAGGTAGACACAGTAGTCGCTTCTGTATATATTTATTGACCGAGACACCAAGGTATATATCTGCCTAGCCGAGGTCCTTCTACTCTGAGTCTGTGTGGAGAACTGAGGCTGCTGGGAGCATGGCTTGATGCTCCTCTGTCTGGCATGACGTCAGAGGCCTACTTGCCTGTGATTGGTTACATTTCAACTGACAGAATTTGAGTATAACACCGCTCGGACACGCTACCAAGTCGACGTCCCTTGTCGACAAGCTCTGGCTAGCTATATACCTGGTTGATACCTGGTTGATGGGGTTCTGGGAGTTCTTCTACTCCCCAAGCCCGGCCCGAGGCCAGGCTCGACTTGTGAGAGTTTGGTCCACTAGGCTGTTGCTTGGAGCGGCCCGCAGGCCCACATACCCACCACAGCCCGGTTGGTCCGGCACTCCTTGGAGGAATAAATCTAGTTTCCTCTTGAAAATGTCCACGGTTGTTCCGGCAATATTTCTTATGCTTGCTGGGAGGACGTTGAACAACCGCGGACCTCTGATGTTTATACAGTGTTCTCTGATTGTGCCTATGGCACCTCTGCTCTTCATTGGTTCTATTCTACATTTTCTTCCATGTCGTTCACTCCAGTACGTTGTTATTTTACTGTGTAGATTTGGTACTTGGCCCTCCAGTATCTTCCAGGTGTATATTATTTGATATCTCTCTCGTCTTCTTTCTAGTGAGTACATTTGGAGGGCTTTGAGACGATCCCAATAATTTAGGTGCTTTATTGCGTCTATGCGTGCCGTATATGTTCTCTGTATTCCCTCTATTTCAGCAATCTCTCCTGCTTTGAAGGGGGAAGTGAGTACTGAGCAGTACTCAAGACGGGACAACACAAGTGCCTTGAAGAGTACAACCATTGTGATGGGATCCCTGGATTTGAAAGTTCTCGTAATCCATCCTATCATTTTTCTGGCTGTCGCAATATTTGCTTGGTTATGCTCCTTAAACGTTAGGTCGTCCGACATTATTATTCCCAAATCCTTTACATGCTGTTTTCCTACTATGGGTACATTTGATTGTGTTTTGTACTCTGTATTATGTTTAAGGTCCTCATTTTTACCGTACCTGAGTACCTGGAATTTATCACTGTTAAACATCATGTTATTTTCTGATGCCCAGTCGAAAACTTTATTAATATCAGCTTGAAGTTTTTCAATGTCCTCAGCCGAGGTAATTTTCATACTGATTTTTGTGTCATCTGCAAAGGATGATACGAAGCTGTGACTTGTATTTTTGTCTATATCTGATATGAGAATAAGGAAAAGCAGTGGTGCAAGGACTGTACCCTGAGGTACAGAGCTTTTCACTGCACTTGGACTAGATTTTATATGGTTGACCGTTACTCGCTGAGTCCTGTTTGACAGAAAACTGAGTATCCAGCGTCCTACTTTACCGGTTATTCCCATTGACTTCATTTTGTGTGCTATCACGCCATGGTCACATTTATCGAAGGCCTTTGCGAAGTCCGTGTATATCACATCAGCATTCTGTTTCTCTTCTAATGCCTCAGTGACTTTGTCGTAGTGCTCAAGTAGCTGTGAGAGGCACGATCTTCCCGCTCGAAATCCATGTTGGCCTGGGTTATGAAGGTCATTGGTCTCCATGAAATTGGTGACCTGACTCCTAATCACTCTCTCAAATACTTTTATGATGTGCGATGTTAGTGCAACTGGTCTATAATTTTTTGCCAATGCTTTGCTCCCTCCCTTGTGTAGAGGGGCTATGTCTGCTACTTTAAGTGCATCTGGTATCTCCCCCGTGTCCAAGCTCTTCCTCCACACTATACTGAGTGCCTGTGCTACCGGCACTTTGCATTTCTTTATAAATATTGAATTCCATGAGTCTGGACCTGGGGCCGAGTGCATGGGCATGTTTTCAATTTCTTTTTCAAAATTTAGTGCGCTCGTGTTTATATCAGTTATATTTACCGGGGTTTGAATATCCCGCATAAAGAAAATGTCTGGATCTTCCACCTTCATGTTGTTTATTGGAGTGCTAAACATGTCCTCATACTGCTTTTTTAGGATTTCACTAATTTCTTTGTCATCCTCCGTGTATGAACCTTCACTTGTACGAATAGGTCCAATACTGGCAGTGGTTTTTGCTTTTGATTTCGCATATGAGAAGAAATATTTTGGATTTTTCTTTATTTCCTGAATTGCTTTCTGTTCTAACTGCCTTTCTTCAGTTTCATATGAGTGTTTCAATTTCCGCTCGATTTCCTCAATCTCCCTATTTAAATTATTCCTTCTTTGACGGGAAATTCGTGTCTGCATAAGCAGTTCCGTTATTTTTTTCCTGCGTTTATAGTGTCGTCTGCGTTCTCTTTCTACGTTAGATCTCTTTCTGGCTTTCCTCAAAGGAACATGTTTCAGACAGACTTGATACGCTTCTGAAGTAAGTTTTTCTATTCCTTCTGTAGGACTTGTATTATTTAGAACAGTTCCCCATGGAATGTTTGTAAGTTCCCTGTTTATTATCTCCCAGTCTATCCTTTTATTATTAAAATTGAATTTACTGAATAGCCCCTCTCGCTTTATCAACGTTTTAGGTCTATTCTGAGTATTGATGGTCGTTTGCACTTCAATGAGTTTGTGATCTGAGTATGTGGTATCTGATATCGTAATGTCTCTGATAATGTCTTCATTGTTCGTAAAGACCAGATCTAGAATATTTTCATTTCTCGTTGGCTCCGATATCTGCTGATTGAGTGAAAATTTGTCACAGAATCTAAGTAGTTCTCTAATCTGTGGTTGGTTAGGTCCTGATAGATTTCCTGGTATAATATTATTGTTTGCTATTTTCCACCTGAGACTAGGCAAGTTGAAGTCACCTAGGAAAATAATATCAGGTATCGGGTTCTCCAAATTATCAAGGCTATTCTCTATTTTGCTTATCTGTTCTGTGAATTCCTCAGCCGTTGCATCTGGCGGTTTGTATATTAGTATAATCACTAAATTTATTTTCTCTATTTTTAATCCCAGTACCTCTACCACCTCATTTGTAACGTTTAGGAGCTCCGAGCATACAAGGTCTTCCCTAATATACAGACCCACTCCTCCATGTGACCTAATTTTCCTATCACACCTGTATAGGTTATATCCTGGAATCCAGATCTCACTGTCCAACAATTCCCCTGCATGGGTTTCTGTGAAAGCTCCAAATACTGCATTTGACTCCGTGAGGAGGCCATTTATGAACTGTACTTTGTTGTTTGTTCTTGTTTTCAGTCCTTGTATGTTGGCAAAGATGAATGAGGTTACTCTATTAGTGATAGTTTGAATGGGAGACTTTTTCGGCACGTCCATTAATCGTGGACATAATGAGTTTGTTCTGACCAGTACTGATTGTTATCATATAGTTACAATGATACTGAAAGGACCTCGGTGGCATACAATAATGGCTTACATGTGAAATTTGCATAATAAAACATTGAAAGAAGATCAGGTGTGCGTAATACTAACAACTCGGCATATATGCACCAAAAAAAAAAAATCATCATAATAGGTGAAAATCATGGTAACAAGCTTTGATTAAACCAGAGTATTAAGAACATGTGGATGTCTACTGATCAGATATGAACAATACAACTCAAGGTATTGCCTAAACAAAATTATTAACATGTGTCAATGGCATGTGCCATTCAGTGACGGGGAGGGAAAAGTTATTCAGTGACGGGGAGGGAAAAGTGTAGGGGAAAACATAGTATCACACAATATAGAGGAGAGAATCGTAACTGTGAACAACTGTTTGACTGTAGAGAGACGAACATTTTATAAGAGTTATAAGTACTAGTAGTACAGAATTTTTTTAAAGTAGCGTAATAGTAGAGGTTTATAAGTGTAATGACCGAGACCAAAACAGCCCAATAAGAATAGAGGCCACTGCAGACAATAGGAAGGAATCTATTACCTCGAATCATGTGTTGTCCTCCGATGAAGTCCGAAAAATAACCTTATTTTACCTTTGCGAATAAAGTTTTATTAAGAATGTGAAGTGAAAATTATGTATGATAATGTATTAAAGAATAACCTCTTAATGCGTAAAACACATCTTCTAATCGTATTGCTGGGAATTAAAACCTAATCTCTGACCCCGTAGGATGTAAAAAACCAGACTGTGACCTGCTTGTGCCTGGAAGGCGAGAGCTCCAGAATGTAATGAAAAGAGACATAAGGAAAAAAAAATTAATAAAGGGGGCCAAACGGCGGGTTCCATCTTATGTTGTACTCCTTATTCGTTGTGCGTGTAACAGCCTTGTGACCTTTTTCCTGATTGTTGATCAGCTGTAACGACATCAGTCGGAGTGAGATTCCAGTGTGGTGATAATGGGACCTTTTCGTCTGTCTAGTGAGAATTCCATAACAGCCAGAAGATAATGTTGGTAACCGGGACTATGGCGATAACAATTGTTTTGTTAGGCTTAACCGGCAGGCCAAGGTCTGGCAAACACGCAGCGGGGACAATTCATGCGGCGAAAGAGGCTGCATAGAAAATTCCGGGCATAACCGGCCGACAAAAATCTAAAAATCCGGCGGTGAA